TCGAGTCTATGATCGAGATATTGAAAGGTAAGTTGTCTTCAGCCCAGAAAGATGTGATTTCGATTCAAAATGACTCACTACAAAAAGAAATTGAGAATTTATCTCTCAAATCCAAAATCACTGAATTGAAAAATATAAAGAGCGAATTGGAATCGAAAGCCAATGAGCTTGAGTATCTGAAATCGGAGGCCATATCAAAACCCATAGTTGGTGGAGATGACGAAAAAAATATGACTAAGTCTGATGATATATCTGCAGTTATTGAGGAATCAGAGATTCGAGGCTATGACTCACCTAGCAAAAATCTCCGTAAATATTTTATACGCGGAAAAAATACACTGTGTGAGGAACAAAGTTCCATGAATCCAATAGAAAAAATTGATGGTAATATATCGACGTATACTAGTGATGAGGTTTCCGAACTACCAAAAAATGATACCGCGATTAGTCCTAAAATAAATGAGGAAACTAACATTAGCGAAATTAGCGAGGATATTACACCCCAACCTCAAGGCTCGAAGAGCCATTGCTCCGCAATAGAAATCCCGAATATAACTCCTTACCTTGCACAGCCGGAAAATAATAGCAGAGCCAGTGCCAAAGCACATATGTCCTCATTGATTGAATCGAATTCTCAAATTCCGATAGGAGGAATAGGAGCGATCCCTGCTGTGGCAAGTACTTTGATGTCACCTCTATCATATATATTACTTGCTCTGTTAATTATTGCCGTTATATGGTTCGTGAGATGCACGTGGAATATAGGTAGGCTCAAAGAGCCAGGATTCAAAGGGTCGCCTTATGGCCCGCTCCGCAATAAAAAAGTGATCGGCTATGGGATACGTGGATCAGATAATGAATTTATTAATTTTAAAAATTCTTTGAAATAGGTATTATACAAAAATGAATTCTCAAGATAGTATTAGTGAAACTAGCTTTGCTAAATCAAATTGGCAGAAAATTGAAAATGACGTAAAATCAAAGCTCATAAAATTTTTTCAAAGTAATGAAAAATCAATTACTCTAGACATAAATAATAGTATAGAATATGCATATTACTTATATTATTTGAAAAAAATTATTAATGAGAATTAGTGATATATGTAGATTGGATAAGCTGATATAATCTCACCTTCATCACTCAATTTCAGATATTTTAGTTAAATATACCTTGGATTATTACTTGAGAAAAAAAATCGAAAATGTGTCATAAAATACATATCACGACACTGACGACGGTGTTGCATTTTTTGTCGTCACACCAGAAATTTTTTATCCAATCTATAGAAATCATAGTTATGGATTCCCAATCCGTCATACAAAAAAACCGAAAGAAAGAAATATTGCGGAGCAGGCCGTTAGGCGATTCTCCGAATCATGGCTTATCGAGCCTACCACCTATAAAACTTTATCTTATGGATATGGATGAGGCCACAAAGCACGAATTATCCCAAATTCAGTCGCATCCAGCCAGCCCATCATGGCCTTTCAGTATGCTAATCACCGGGAAGAGTGGATCAGGTAAGACTAATATCTTGGCAAATCTTTTTCTTGGTGATAAAGCTGAATATATATATAAAGGTAAAAAAGGCGGGTCTAGATATATTGCATGTGATGATTTGATAGTCTGTGGTTACCATCCCGACGAGCCTAAGTGGGCATTTGTAAGAAAAATGTATGGTATAATTTCAAAAGATCCAAAAGCGCCTTACTATGAGAATATACGATTTAGCTATATATCACCAGAAAAAATCCCTAGTGTTAGAGCATTTTCACCAGAACGAAGTACAGCAATTGTTTTTGAGGATGTATGTCTAGCTCCAGAATATATACAAAATCAAATCGGCCAATTTTTTGGGAATGGACGACATCGGAATATTTCATGCGTATATGTAGCGCAGAAATATCATAAAATCAATACATTTATGCGTGAAAATGCCTCTCATTTAGTAATTTTTAACTCCGGTAGCTCATATGAAGACGTCTCCAAAATTATTAGGCGCTATACTGATGATGTTAAGAATGCATCAATGGTTATTAATAGTTACCTTCGAAAAAATGAATTTATTGTATTCGATCTTACTAGGTCGGAGGATGATCCACTAGCAATTCGGTTAAGATTTGATACTCCACTAGATTTGCAGAAGGAAATAGAATTGCGTCAAAAGAAAATAATAAAAAGTAAACCAGCTGATACATAGGAAAAAGGTATAGCGGAGCTAGTATCTCTGACACATAAAAATTCATGTGATTAAATAGATATATATGAATAAGCTATATACTCTAAATATCTAGATTCAATTTTAGTGCAGATAAGTTATTTACAGTAGATCCGTCATATTTTGCGAGTGATATATATAGAAGTTCGTGGAACATGCGTAATTGCGTAACTGTACTACACAGATAATCTTGTTTTTTTTCGCTTTATTTTACATAGTAATAGGAAAATGTCTTTCCAACCACACATGCTTTTGCGATAAGGCATGCGAAAACGAAGCTTCAAAACGATATAGGAGGAAAGGCTCGACAATCTCTATTAATTTTCGTATTAAAAACCTCAAGTTATGGGGGTTCGAAATCACCGCGATTCCGGATCGTCGTTGTGTTAACCAACTGCCGTCTTGCAGGAGCGATCGCTACCTCAAAGGGGTTTCGTTTTCCCCAAAATTGCGTAATATTTTCATGTGGTCTCTTCTTTGTTGAGTTCTTTACATATGACGACGCTTTTTATGGGGCTGAATCGTAACAGGTTTGAGAATCTTACTATGTTAGGAATCTGAGATCCGGACGATAGAGAACAAAACCACTAACATGTCAAACCCCTCTAACAAGCTTCGGATTGAGTGAATCGATATAAATAAGCAGGAATCGTCCAAAGTCGGTCCCTTACCTTCCCACGAATTTTAAAAGGTACATCTGTTTAGAAATCTATGAAAGCGATATCATACTCACTATGAATCTTTCTATTTAGGAACGTAAAATGAGTGAAACTACCGGTGCCAACATTAACCTCAACTGCCTCTTTATGCCTATTAATGCATTCCATGGTTTACCTTACCGAATTCACATAATTCCTATTTCTAATGCATCAACAGTCAACGCGCTTATGAGTCTAATTCAATCTCTTATGCCAGGTGGATTAACTCATGTTAACTACCAGCTTCGTGCATTTCGTCCGGGACCTGTGGTATATGTAAATATGGCATCAGGAGGTAGAATCGGTGATTATTTCGGTGAGAATCTCGATCGTAATATTATTCATATTCTCGTAGAACCTGTACCAGGAGAGAATTAGATTTTTATCCGTATCCGTATCATGTAATTGCGGTATATATATTCGCAAATTTTATTATTTGTATCAGCTATCGCCTTCGAGGCATTTTTTTCGTAGAGGCGAAACCTCATTGCTCTGCAATAAAATAAAACATTTAGCCTGTTCCAGAATGTTTAGGAAAAATCACGTGATGGAAGACCGTTAAGAAAATCTTCATATCGGAAAATTTTCTGCCGAAAAGTAATGTGATACACGCATTGTGCAACAGAATATATTTCTCACATCTTAGTACCTGCTGATCACGAGCTAGCTAAATTTCGATTCCCAATTCATTAGGTTCATTAACCGTAATATTTGCCCAACATGAATGTTGCTTTGCGTTCGACTTTATAATGAAGCTACGAATTAATTGCTTAGAACGAATCTAAAGAACCAATGCCGTGATCACATAAGAATAAACCAGATATAATTCGTGTTAAGAAAAGGATGCTCATAAGATGCGCAAGAAACTAAGCTAATTCATCTTTGTTTTGTGAAATTAAGATATATTGATCGCTTTTACTGTGAGATATAGCAGAGCTAGTGTCCGAGACACAGTTTACGAGCTACAGATATAAAAACGTGCGTTGTCTAGGGTTAAATTTGCAGGTTCGTCCCCGCCTTCTCATTCTTTGAGCTCGAAGCCAGACTATAGTCATTGTATAACTACTTTCAACAATTTGTTTTTCTGGAATATATAAACCGACCATAAACGAACAAAGTGAAGTGAATTGTCGGGGGAATTATCGTCGCGCGACATAGAGCCTTGCTCATGCTTTGCATAACAATCAAACAATTGATCGAATAATCAATTTATTTACTATTGCAAACTTTGGGTCTACAACATGTCACTCAATTTATCCGACGTTTTTTTGTTCGTTATTTTCATCGCTGTAATCGCGATCTATGAATTATTTAATCGAGGCATCTTAACTACGGAGACACTCCACACAATTATCCCTGGAAACACAATAATATATATAATTCTCGTCATAACATTCTTATATCTACGCAAAAAAATAATGTCGCCTCAAATCCCGAGTGATCCATCTATAAAAAAACTCGAAAAAGCAGTTTTGACACTTAACAATGAAATCAATAGAATGCGAACTGAAACAGAATGGAAAAGTGAGATTCGGTCTCAAGGTAACGACATTGTTATATTGGACAAAGTTCGTGCACTCTGCATTAATGTGTTTTAGCACTAACATACTATCTTCGTTGATTAAAGGACAAGAATCTGTAAGAAGCCACAAATTCGAATACCCCGACGAAACTGAGACTCTCTGGGTTGAATTTACCGCCCTATTTAACGAGAGAAGAAAGAGGGAAAGACGCTCTCACCAGGAAAATCAATATCGCCGAAAAAAAAAATCTGATCAGTGTCTATTCTTTTTTACCGATTTACACATGACACA